ACCAGTGGCATAGCTTCCAGCATCACAGCAACACACAAGCCCCCACAGTATGACAAACTGACAGACACGTGGGGCAATCTTAGCATCATTAAAAGTGAGAGAACCAGGGATCACCTTCTAAGGTTATCAAGCCACTAGATCTAATTGCCAGTTTACAGGATATATAGGAAATAGTGGCATATCGAATAACACTATGAGAAAGCAATCAGCTTAATCTAGATTTGTGGCTTATTCTAGAGGGTACATGGCCCGGTTTCATCAACAAATAAAAGGTATGAAACAAAGACTGGGGAGGGGAATGTCGTAGACTAAAAGAGACATGATACATATCAACCAAAATGCAATGTGTAGATCTTGTTTGAATACTGATTTGAATAAACTAACTGTAAAAATGCACACTAGAGCTAATAGAGGAAACTGGAATTAGATAATTAGTACCATCCTTAGACCTGGGCAAGAGAGGCCCCTGGCCTGACCCCTCTCTTTAGAGCTCTGCTAAGTTAAGGAGATGTGCCCATCCAAAACCTATGTTCCCACCACCCCTTCTAGACCATCACCTGGGTAACTAGGACCTCACAGAATTCCTTGCCCATTTCCAAGGCCTAGATGGGCCTTTCCCCTGGGTCTATCTGCTGGAGAGCAAATTGTGCTGGCTGTGTGTGCCCTCTCTCACCCCATGCCCGAGGGGTGCCCAAGGTGGGGGATGGATTTGCAAGCAATGTGGACAGAGGTTGGACATACAGGCTGGGAGATCAACACAGTGTATGTGAGGTGGAGCCCAGGGTTACAGAAAGGAGAAGAGAAAGGAAGCAGCACAGGGAGTCAGTTCTCCACACTCTGCTGCATCCTGGCATGGAATCCTAAATTCAAACCCTGCCTTCCTCATCTTTATGAAAGTATATTTGTTAAGTTGGAGGATAAAACATACTTTATTTACCAGTTTTCCAGCTTTATTTATAACTTCTAAATATTTAGATACATGATATATGGATTTCCTTTGTACTCTTCCCCCAGGCCTGATGTTAGGGGAAAGTCTACAGATATCTTTAAAAAAAAAAAAAAAAAGACATGATAATGACATGGCAGTTGTTTTTTTAAAAAAACCAGAAATGACATGATGACTAGGATGGTAAATCTAGGAAAAAAAATTGGGAGAGATTGATAAATCAAGGCTGGTAAAATATTGGTAATTTTTAAAGTCATGTGATTGGTACAAGGGGCTCCATTATACTCCTACCTGCTTTTATGTGTGTTTAAAAATTTCTATACTAAAAAAAGTAAGTCTTTTACAGTGTTTGGCAAACACAAGCAATAACAACGTTCTTGTAAGCATAGAACAAAGAGTTAAGAGCTCCCAAGAAGCAAGCAGAAGAGAAGGGCCCTGGCTAACCCAGAGGCCTCCACTACTTCTCAAGAAGAGTACTAAGGAATGGAGAGTTGGAATTGGGGATGAGGCAAGAGAGCAGGCTGGAGGACGGGGGGTAGGCATAGGGATTTGTGTGTGTGTGGGGTGTGTGTGTGTGTGTGTGTGTGTGTGTGTGTGTGTGCGTGCACGTGCGCGCGCTGTGACCGGGACAAAAAGTCATCCTGGTATTACCCATGTACACTCAGAATATACATGGGATTATATTTCAGAGGTAAGCATGCCCATTGCTATCAAGTGGGTTCTGACTCATAGCGACCCTATAGGACAGAGTAGAATTGTCCCATAGAGTTGCCAGGGAGTGTCTGGTGGATTCAAGCTCCTGACCTTTTGGTTAGCAGCCATATCTCTTAACCACTAAGCCACCAAGCACAGGAGGTAGTTTTCTTAACAAAGCCTAAAAGACACTTACCCCTATGCTTACCCATATATTTACCCGTAATAAGGTTGGGAGGACTCACTGTTTCCTTTAAATCTTAAATTACTTCCTGTTTTGTTTAATTCTTCGCTATCTCTAGCTATTATCTTATATGAATAATGTTTGCTGTTTAATTCCTTGCACGTATGTCTATTTTATACACATATAAATATAAATTATGAATTTATAATTATATATTTATATTATAATTTATAATTAAAATTATATATAGTTATATATATCCTAAGAAGAAAATTAAGAGAGACTATTGCTTAGAAAAATTTAAGGTTACTTACTGTATTTTTAAAAACAAATAACATGTGCACTATGCCAGAACTGTTTTACTTAATTTTATCATTTCTGAGCATTATATATATGAGTGAGTTATTTACGTGGGAACGTTATTTGCGAAAAATACGATATTTACATCGTGGTGAAGGGGAAGACATAAAATGTAATTTCCTCCAAGGTCAAAATAATAAAATAAAACATATAATGGACTAGGAAGAGAACAGTGTAATGTATTCTAACTTCGGGAAAGACATGATTGATCAATTTACATGTATTGAGTGATCATTAAGAATACGTTGTGTTACTGCAAAGTAATAATGTTCACTTTCATTTACAGCCAGCTGATCTACTCTCATTGCATGATAGCACAGCTCATCCTCTTCTCACTCAACCCTAAACTCCCATCAACCCACTGCGTGTCATACACACATACAGAGAGAGAGAGAGAAAGAATACTTACCCATATTTATCTCTTGCTCTCCACCAATGAACATCATTCTTTTCTAATATAATATACTCTTGGCCTCTATCTAATCTGAGATCATGCGGTTCTGTCGCCTGGAAATCATACATTGCTACAACTACTTCTTCACTATTATCTTCTTCTTCAGGTGGAATTGGTGGGGGAGGCCTTCGCTAAAATAAATAAATAAATAAAAGATAATGTTTGAAAGTACAGTCGTCTGTTTTAATTGGGTATGAAGCAAAACACTAAAAGATTTATACATCACCACAGAACAAAGCAGAAGCCTCAAATCTACCTAATACAATCTGGTGTCCCCTCCCATGAGTTTGAAGATGTTGATGCTACTGGATCTCTCACGGGGTTCACAATATAGAAGATGAGCAAAAGCTGTCATTAAACACTGAGTGTCAGGGACAGTTTTTCAGGGAGAGGAGCTGGTGATAATGAGAGTAAAAGCCGGGAGGACTAAAGGTAGATCAACAGTGCAAATGGTCTGCAGCAGAGAAGAGCTCACTATGGAGTATTTTATCAGGTCTCTTCCCACTCGAAAGAATCTGCACTTCTTCATACCTACTATAAGGAGCCCTGGTGGTACTGTGGTTAAGCACTCAGCGGCTAAATGAAAGGTCAGAGGTTCGAAACCACCAGCTGCTCTGTGGGAGATAGATGTGGCAGTCGGCTTCCATGAAGATTACAGCCTTGGAAACCCTATGGGGCAGTTCTGCTCTGTCCTATAGGGTTGCTATGAGTCAGAATCGACTCAACCACAGTGGGTTTGGTTTTTTTTTGGTTTGTGCCTACTATGTGCAAGGCACACTGCTTTGTACCTAACACATTTTTTTCCTCATATAGCCTTAATATCCACCCATGAAGTGGAGTTCTATAATTTCCATTCTGCAGTTGATAAAATAATGATTTAAGTAACGCACCCAAAGTCATCTTACCAGACTCTGATCATGTGCTAAGTCAAAGTGCGTGTTTTTCCCACCATACCCCACTCCTCAAAGGCAGTAAGTCACTGAAGTCACTCCTTTATCATAATACTGAGATCTCAAGCTTGAAATATTCCTTTAAAGTCTCACGTTTCTTATGTAATTCTTTAAGCCAAAATACAAGGCCCCCACTGATAATATATGATACAATTAAATTAATATTATTTGACGCCAAGAAAAAAATCAAATAAGCCATAGCCCATCTACTTCTGATATTAAATATGATCCTGGGGGAAAACAGCTGTCACATGAATGAATACAAACATGCTCAATAAACCACAAATGCTTCCAAAAGTTCGAGCCCTCCTACCTTCTTTGTTTCTGGTGCTGGAGGTAGTGCTTTTCTTATACCTGAAAATGACAACAACAGAAACCAGGTCAAAAGTGCTATCTACCAACAATCAAAAAAAATAAGATAACAGTAGTTTTAAGGAAAAGTTAAAATAAACACAAAGACGACAAGCCCACTCTCATACTCTCCCTCTGGTGCTTTTTGCTTGTTATCACTATTCTAGAATAGAATTAATCACTCTGTCTTTTATAGCTGGCTGGTATTTCTGTCTTCCTGAATAGACTGTAAGTGCCACAAGGATTGGGGATCATGTTTTATTCTTTGTGTCCCCACCACTGCATAAACTAGACACTCAACAATTCATGTTGAGTCAGTAATAGTAAAAATGAAAGAGAACACTGAGAAAGATGAATGAGTTTTGGCAGTCTGCCCTTTCCACCTATAGTCTACAGTACTGGAGTTTCTGCAGGCACATGCACCCAGCTAAAGACTTTATTTCCCAGCTAGATGTGGCCATGGGACCACATTCTAAATAAAGGGCTCTGTATACAAATAGTATGTGCCGTTTTTAGATCTTGCCCTTAAAAGTCTTCCTCTGGGCACCCTTGACCACTTTCCCCCTTCTTGCTGCCAGGATGAGACAGCTAGAACTGAAGCAGACCCTGTGACCCATTTGACAGCTACCCCTATCAGCCCTGAATCACCCATCACCATTGGGTTATTACACGAGACTGAAATAAATTTTCTCTAGTTTAAGACACTATTTTTTTAGTTTCTTTTTACAGCAAGTTAGACTTTAAACAAACTAATACTAAGCCTTAAGAAAATTTAAAAAAAACAGGAAATAAGTAACAGCCTTGGAAACCTGGGCCTTCCTTTCAACGTGCTAAATTAATGTTAGGCTACCCTAAGAGAATTGGGGTGCCAGGACTCATAGACTTGGGGGCTGGATGGGCCAGAAAAGTCATCTGGCCTGGCATCATGCACAATGCAGCATCCCTGCTGAATGGCCATTCTGTTTGTATCTAGAACTTTTACCACACAGATCTGATTGACACAGTGAGCATCCTGTATCATGCCAGCAGGAAAAGAGAAATACGGTATATCCAATCATTATTGTTGTCAGCTGCCATCAAACTGGCTTTTCACTCATGGTGACCCCATGCACAACTGGGATTGGACCATTGTGAACCACATGATTTTCACTGGCTGATTTTTTGGAAGTAGATTGCCAGGCCTTTCTTTCTAGTCTGTCTTAGTCTGGAAGCTCCACTGAAACCTGTTCAACATCATAGCAACATACAAACCTCCGCTGACACTCCACTGCGCTTGAGGTACATTGGCCAGGAATCAAACCTGAGTCTCATGCACGGAAGACAAGAATTCTACCACTACCCACATCCAATCATTATGATGGGTATTTTAGAGCACTAGCAATTTTGAATCTCTGTGCATTTTTAGCTTATACCTAAGTGCTACCTTTATTTCCAGGATTTGTAAGGGAGTTAATTGTCACAATTAACCCCAAGTAGTCTTATTCATCAAAGCATTCACGTACAGGTATCACTCTGACACTTTACTGCCCTGAAAGACTGTGAAGCTACTGCTAAAATCCACACCACTATGCTTCATCAGGAGCCCTTGCGGCACAGTGGTTAAGAGTTCAGCTGCCAGTCAAAAGATCAGCAGTTCGAATCCGCCAGCTGCTCCTTAGAAACCCTATAGGGCAGTTCCACTCTGTCCCATAAGGTTGCTATGAGTCGGAATCAACTCGACAGCAACGGGTTTGGGTTTTTTGGATGCCCTATCATAATGAGAATAAGTCCTATTCAGATTGTTGGCGCATTGTTACATGAGGTTTCTAGCTACACACTGGAGAAAAGTTTATTTATTGAAGAATACATGAACACCAGTGTTAAGAAAAGCTGCTGATAATACTACACTGGGTTCATCTTTTAATAGATCCATTTTTAGCAGGCTTAAGTGTTGTAATAAAAGCTCCCCAAAACAGACCTTTCGATTCCATGAGATGGTCTTATTGCTAACTCAATATAATTATTCTTAAAAAATATACCAACCTTACATTTACACTGTGCTAGAAAGCACGCAGGCCATACTCAATCAAAATATTTTACAGTTTATTTCCTAACTTTCTAAGTACTTGACAAATCAATCATGCCACTTTCTCACCATACAGGTAATATGTACATTCCGAGCACATAATTACAGAATAAAATGAATACTTACTGCTCTCAAAAATATTGTATTTTTCACATCCAGGTGCTAGTTTTTCAGTTTGTCTGCAACACTGATAACTTCCGTCTGCCCAGAATTTAGGATGATATTTAATCATAATGTTATTGTTGTTCTTTATTTCTGTAACTCACAGATACAGTAATGATTAGTGGAACAAAGCAGAGACTACAAAATGTGCTGTAACACAGTCCATCATGACTTGTTCCTCCGATACCATGTTTCTTACGAGAACACTCTCACCACAGCATATGATTCAGCATTCAGACAAGTCACCTGCTCCTCATTCACCTTGTTTTTGGTGAAGCCCCCTTCTTAACAGATGTTAACTGCTGCCGGACCATGATGGAAAAATGCAAAATCTAGCTCACCACTACTTTTTTTCCACAGAAGAAGTAATGAGGTTTATGCAGAACAAATCGCCCGTTTAAACACTTCACATACAAGCCAATCCATCCCTACCATAAACTTCTTGACCAAATGTTGACTACACAAGCAATTTCTTAGGAAATACCAAATCCTGTTGATCATAAAAGCCCAGAGCTTCAAATATATGACCTTCAAATATATGACATGTTTAATGAAAGCAGAATTTTCTTAGAAATAATACAAATGCCACTAGAAGAAACTAGGCTTTTAAAAGGGACGTTATCTTCAGGATGTTGATATCGCTTACAGTAAGAGAAAGTCCTTGAAAAAATCTTTATCGAAGATTAAAAGATTATAAATGCAGTGACTACATTGTCTGTATTTCTGTTTTAGTCATAACAATGTTATGTACTGAAATTTTATACAGATTAATATTTCGTTACATAATTTTTTACCTTCTTTTAACTTCTTTACCCACCGGTCCCTGCTTTGTACACTGGGTGCAAAAATGTAAAGTGTGTTAGAATCATGGACAACCTAGAATAAAACAAGAGATGGAACTGGTGAGAAATACATAGACACAGCACGTCTGTCTAGCACAGAGCCCATGGTACTACAGGCACTCAATAAATGTTTCTCGAATAACGGAATAGAAGTTAGTGACTTCAGATTCAAATAACTTACAATCTTTTCTTACAAAAGCATGTCTATTTCTTCATTTCCACATTCAGTGAGATACATATGTTGCAAAGGATTGTGTTTTTATAGAAGAAAATATATACATTGGTCACGATGCTTCATTAATCTTGGTATTTCTTTTAATCCTTAGATAAACTTGGTGTAATGGAATATTCTAATCCAGTATTTTTCAAAATAATATTTTAGATAAATGGACTACACTTTCAGCATCATTCCTTTGCCACAATAAATAACTATAGTAGCTAACATTATTAAATAAATCTTGAAAAAGGAATTCAGAAGAAGAATGGGATGCATTTGAACTGTGGTGCTGGCAAAGTATACTGAATATACTGTGGACTGCCAAAAGAATGAACGAATCAGTCTTAGAAGAAATGTAAACAGAATGCTCCTTAGAAGCTAGAATGGAAAGACTTTGACTTGCTTACTTTGGGCACATCATCAGGAAAGACCAATCACTAGAAAAGGGCAATATGTTTTGCAGAGAGTCAATGAAAATGAGGGAACCCCTCAATGAGGTGGATTGACAAAACAGCCGCAACAATGGACTCAAATATACCAACGATTATAACGATGGCACAGGATGGGGTAACGTTTCATCCTGTTAATACATAAAGTCACCAGGAGTCAGAGCTAACTTCATGGCAACCAACAACAACAACTTTATTAAATACTGACTATCCCAGCTCTATGCTATGTGCTTTAAAGGCATTAATTAACTCAATTAATTCTACCATCACAGTATTACTATTTCCATATTACAGATGAGGAAACTAATGCCTATCCACAGGCCCTCTACACTTGGATAATTCCAGGAGATACCATTCACATAGAATGTGCTGCAAATGGTGACCACAATGTTGTATTATCTAAACTGCCCATCATCATTTGGCTGGCAATCCAGAAAGCCAGGATTCTGACTTGGGAGCCCACACTTTTAAGCATAGTGCCTCTTTTAGAGGTAATACCTAGCAGACAATTACACACAGTCTTACTTTTAATATTTTTAATGTTAATAATAAAACTAAGCTTGGGAAATCACCCAGGAATTTTGTCTTTGGTCTGTCATTTTGCCCTTGATGGCCAGTCCAACAAGCCTGTAACTTTGTTAAAGGGTGTTAAACACTAGCTAATCTGAAAAAATTAATCCAAATTCAGAGTTTTGATAACTAACACTAGCTTGACATATTACCTAGATAACCTGGGGCATTTGTATTTCTACAAGAAATTTCTAGACATACCACCTTTAAATGCAAATAATAAATCTCTAATCCTGGCATCTCAGGTAGTTAGGCAGGTTGTTGGAAGAGATATCTGGGGACAATATCCTTCCCTCAACAAACTCCAGGTCACATGTCATGTACAGGAGCCTGTGGCTGGGTGAATCAGGGGAGCCACATTTCTCATGTGCTTCCCATTTTCTGATGAGTCATTCTATCACAGCAGAAACTGTCAGGGGACAGAACTTTGCAAATTTCAAAGCACAGATTCTATTTCAACAAGGAGGAAATAATTCTCCCTTAGTAACATTATTAACTCATAGTTACCCTCCCTCCTACTTATATCTTCATTCACTCATTCATTTATTCAATAGAGTTTTAATGACAGTGTGGTGTAGGAGAAATCTCACAGATGTTATATTTGGGCTCAAATGTCGAGAAAGAAACACCACTTCCTGAGGAATCCCCAGCTGCCATCAGAAATGACTCATCTAGGAGGCAACAAAGAGGTAGCCCACTAGGCAGCTGGTTCCTCCCTATTTTCTCTATCCATCCTGTGGGGTGATGAGTCACCTGGCAAAAAGCTATTTGGCCTTTGGTCTTGATTCCGGAGAGCTGGACCACACCTGAAGCTAATGAGTGGGGGTTGACCATACCAGGAGGGAATACTTGGGGGCCTAATGCTGACTAAGTCTTAGGAGGCATGATGTAATCTATCATGGCCATGTGGGGAGACTGTTAAGGCTCAGATGAGCTTCCTGCTTGGCATATTACCTAGCTAACTTGGGGCATTTGTATTTCTATGAGAAATTTCCAGACATACCACCCGAAGGCTCAGATGAGCTTCCCTCTTTGGGCCATGGAAGCTCTGCGCTGGGAACCTTCCCAGACCTCATTTTATTCTCTTTGGATTGTAATAAAGATGTAGCCATAAGTATGGTATACTCTCTGTGAGATTCTGTGAATCGTTCTAGTGAATTATCAAACCCATGGAAGCAGTGAGAGCCATCAGGGCCTGGTATCTGCCTATTCAGCAGTCTGAAAGAAGGTGCCCTTCTAACTTGCGAGCTCTGACCTAGCTCTGGGCGACCAGGGTCAGAGATGGGGTGCCACTTGTGTGGCTGGCAATGAGGATGGAGAAGTGGGAAGGTGAGTGTTGGATCCATCCCCATATTTGGGGGATTGGATTCATGCTGATCCTTACCATGCAGTCAGCAACAAAGGTGGGATTTACCCACTTTGCCCCTTGCTTCATACACTTTCCTAACCAGTTGTGAGTCAATTCCCATTTCCAAAGACCCCATGTTTGTCAAAGTAGAACTATGCTCCATACAAACGGTTTTTAATACCTGATTTTTTGGAAGTAGATCGCCAGGACTTTCTTCCAAGGCACCTCTGGATGGACTTGAACCTCCAACCTTTCAGTTAGCAGCTCAGTGTATTAAACTTCTGCACCATCAAGGGACTCCTATCCCTTCCTAAGAGCTAGAATATGCTGGAGGAGGAAGCAACCTCCTTTTTTCTCTTGGTATCTTTTGAAAATTTCTTTTACTCCTTTTTTCTTTTTTTTTTGGCCCTTCTGTTCTCTTGTATCTGAACCTGATGCAAACTTTCACTGTTAAGACAGGAAACTAAGATCTATGCTTTAAGTTATAATAAAAGAGGATATTTTTCACTTTCAAATTCTGCTGATTTAAATTACATAGTTAAAGCTCAAGTCTACCTCTTCTGGATTAATTTTTAAGATTGTTTTTGACTCTTTTTATATTTATTCATCAATTAAAAATGGTTCAAGGATGGAATGTTTTCTGTTGTCCTATTTTTATCATCATTCTTAAATCAACCCAAAGCTTACTGAGTGATCTCTTCACTTGGACAACTTGTTGTTGTTATTAGTTGCCATCAAGTTGGCTCTGACTCTTGGTGGCCTTATGTGTAACAGAATGAAATGTTGCTCAGTTCTGTGCCATCTTCAAGATTGTTGGTATTTTTTTAGTCCATTTTTGCGGTTATTGTGTAGTTGCTTCCAACCTACAGGGGCCATCTTCTAGCACTATATCAGACAATATTCTGTTGGGATTTATAAGTTTTTCATTGGCTAATTTTCAGAAGTAGGTCACCAGGTCTTTCTTCCTAGTCTGTCTTAGTCTGGAAGTTCCACTGAAACCTTTCCACTGTGGGAGACCCTGCTGGTATTTGAAATACTGATGGCACAGCTTCCAGCATCATAGCAACATGCAAGCCACTTCAGTTTGTCATAGTATGACAAACTGACAGACAGATAGTAGCTTGGACAGCAAAGAATCCTAATTCTGGGTCCAGAATCATGAGGCCCATAGCCTCCCACAACCACTCACCAAAATATCTGTTGTCATAAGTGTGTAGGACTGCTTCTCTGCTAAACTTCAAATGGAATTACGTGCATACATACCACACACACACACACACACACACACTCCACAAGTTATATATGTACTTAACACACTCAAATGAAAAGATTTAAATTGGGCTCACTTGTAGATCTGGGTGTTATGTGTAGTATTAATAACAGCAGCTGTTGCAGTAGTAAAAGTAATGTAACAGTACTAGAAATGAACACTTATGTTGTTCTTTCTTACTATATGTTTAACTATATATCACCTTAGTTAACTGTCACAACTCTCTGAGGTGAGTACTATTATTGTTATTATTCTCATTTTTAAGAAGTGCAAACAGAGAGTTTCAGTGACTTGCACAAGGTCACAGAGCAGTTCAGTAGCAAACCAGGCAGTGTGGATTAGAGTCACCTCTTTAAGCACTTTACTGTCCTGCTCTTCACTCAGAGAAATGGCAGATATAAGATGAGGAATGGGAAAAGGAAAATTAAATGTAGTCCTTCCTCGTATCGTGTTGTTGCCACCATAGTGGAAAGTAATCCAGATGCGCTTTTAAAGATTGAATATTTCAGTTTATTCCTTTCAGGTCATCTTAATCCCCAAACTGGTACATGTTCATTTCAAATGTAATTGATGATTTTCATAGCAGCCATTAAAAACCAAAAACTCCACTGTGATGCAACGTTGACAAAGATTTTTGCCATTTTCCCCTCAGGACCTAGTGAGACCATAGCCATGGGTAAAAAGTGAATTTTACTTGACATGTTTACTGCTCAAAGGAAAGCTTAAAAAGGTATCCTTGACCAGAGAAATGGTGGTTAGATCCTGGAGAGGGGTACTGGTTTGTCCGCTGCAAGCTCTAGAATATTAGGGTTCAACTATGCATGTGTGCACCAAGATTCCAGCCTGGATGTAGCCAAGGGCTCAGGATGCCACACTGAGCCTACTTTGGACTGAGAAAATGTGAATGCATGTTGTAGGCAGGTTTTTAATTCCCAAAGTGACTTTGGACAAGGCATTTAACCTCTGTGAGCCTCAATTTCCTCAGTCATCAGTGAGAAAAGTATGATATTTACCTTCCTTATGCAATAGGATCTGTGTGAGGAAAAAATGAAATAATGGGACAGCCCTTTAAAAAGTCCAAAGTTTAGTCAATAGATGACGCTGATGCTGTATTTTTCATCACAAGCAGACTTGTGGTCTCGTGTCTGTTCTGGTAGCTCATGCCTGCCCCTTCTCAGCTTTTCAACTTCACAGAGAGAAGTTCTTCCCACATTTTTTAGTCCCAGCCGCTACTCCTTGTCCTAACTGTTCTATGATATATCAGAACAGTAGTAAACTAGGACTCTGGTTTAGAAACTCAGGACCCCTGGTAGAATCTAACAGACTAAGATAAGAATATGTTAATGTTTCAACCAAGACTCGTCAACAGTTTATGAAGAAAAGCAGTTACCATTAAAGTGGCAAATGAACCCAAAAGTCAGCTGCCGAAGCAATGTCAGGAAACGTAATGTCAAACAGTAAGCATGGCTAAAAGGCCAGCATCTCACTGTTGCGAAAATATACCAGCTTACCTGAAATGGATATTTATTTTGACAGGGAATGACACAGTCATCATTCTTCACTATTTCCACACACTTGATTTTTGAAATGTCAATAAATCCTTTTCGGTATTTTTTCTGTTAAAAGAAAAAAAAGGAAGATCCATTACAATCACAAGATACAGGGAAAAAGTTATTAATAGCAGTATTTGTTAACAAAATCACTGATTCAAAAAGTGACAATTTCCTCAATAATAATCTAAATCACATCGCCTTTAATTGCTAAAATTGTTCAAAATACTAACACTGTGAAGGCTGTAATCAAAATAATTAAATTCTTTAATATCTTGTAAACATGAAATTGGTCTGCCCTTCCCCCCAAAAAGCTCTAGAACGCAAAAGTGGACTCTCTTTGCTGCTGCCTTTTCCTCTCAGACACACACCTTTTTCAACGTCTTCACTTCCTGATAACAGTCTCAAAAAAAGTACCAAAGACCAAATGCAGCAAAACTCCATTTACTCAATCACAGACCCAAACTTCAGCTAGCTCCACTTTCCCTTGGATTAGACGCAGCACACAGAACTCAGGTGTGTAAGGTAGACTTAGGTTTTCACATAAAGCCTCCATTTGAACTCTATTACTGAGTGCTCTACCCTTCTTCACCACTGCCCTCCCGCCCCTTCACTACAGATCTGCCTGCTGCAATTAACTAATGGCATACAAAACCCCGAAAATCATCCACACCCTTGAGCAGAGTAATCTCACTCCTGGGAATTCATGGCAGGAAAAACTAGCCAAAAGAATATAAAGCAGTATGTGCAAAGATAACTGGATATAATGTACCCATTTTATTACAAACACAATGTAGACATATAAAAATGTTTACTGAATAATATTAATTGATACATTCCAAACAAAAAGTTGTATGATGAACAAGGTTACTTTTTTTTTTTTTTAAGTATTCCTATAATAAAGAATAGAAGGAAAAGCAGTAAAATGAAGACTGTTGTTGTATTTGGGATGACTCAGCCATCGCTGGCCCTGCTCATCTAAAATCGCTTCAACTCATAGTCTGAAATCCCTGTCCCCTGCCTGGGGACCCTCTATCCTGTGTCCTATGTTTAAAGGACACAACAGTTCAAACACTGTAACTGGCCCTTAACAGGCAATGTTTCATTGTTTGCTCAAAACATCTCTGTGAAGTAGGCATCATTCTCCTCACTTTACAGGTGAGGGAACTGCAGCTCAGACAAGTTAAATACTTTCCCCATGGGCCCCAACTAACCACAAAGCCCACTAGACTGTGGGATCCCCCAGCTATAAGGAGATGAGAGAATTAAAGGAACCAAGTGTCAGGAGAGGCAACAGACTAAGGTATTCTGAGCATAGACTGAACTTCAACCAAGATAGGAGGAAGGGCACTCTCCCCAGGCATTCTCTTTTGTGAGATTTACTCCCGCCTACAGACACATTCAGGCCTCTCCCATCCATACTGAGAACCATTCCTCTGGCCCTGCTACTGTACTGCCCTCTTTTCTTTCTTCTTGAGAGACAAGATGATTACACTCTCAGCTTTCATTTCCTTCCCGCCCACTCCTTCCTTAACCACTTACAACCTGCCTCCCACTTCACACACTGTTGAAGCTGTTCTCAAAAAAAGTCACCAATGACCAAACCCAACGGTCTTCTTTTTCTCAGTTATCATCCACTGGCACCTTTATGGGGCATTTGAGAGTGCTGACACTCTCTTCTCCGTTAGTTGCCTTGGGCCATCCTGGTTTTCCTTCTCTCCTTTCCCTCCAGTTTCTCACACAACAGCACCTGCCCTGTGTTGGCAACTGCACGCAAGGAATACAAAGCTACAATGTAGGAGGAGTTTATTTCCTGAGCATGCAGTCCAGGTATTATGCCAAGTGCTTTTAATCCTCACAGCTACCCTGTGAATAAGTAATGCTATACCCATTTTGGAGCCCTGGTAGCACGGTGATTACGAACTCAGCTGCTAACTAAAAAGTTGGCAGCTCGACTACCAAGGCCTCCACCGGACTGAGTCCAGTACAGCTAGCTGGTGCCCAGCTACCACCACTGACTGCTCTGACCAGGATCAAACCAGAGGGTTTTGGACAGAGCTGGAGAAGGGTGTAGAGCATAATTCTAACTCACAAAAAAAAGACCAGATTTACTGGCCTAAAGGAGACTGGAGAAACCTCGAGAGTATGGCCCTCAGACACCCTTTTAGCTCAGTGGTGAAGTTATCTCCAAGGTTCACCGATCAGCCTGGGAGTGGACAGCCCCGTAAAACCAAATGAGACTAACGAGGTACAGTAGTCCAGTGACAAGGGCCAGAATGTAGAAGGGGACAAGGAAGCTGGTGATAGGGAACCCAAGGTTGAGTAAGGATATTGTCGATGTGTTGTGAGATTGTTAACCATTGTCATAGGGCAACACTTGTAGTAACTATTAAATGAGAACTATTTTGTTCCGTAAGCCTTCATCTTAAGTGAAAATAACAGCACAATTGGAAGAGCGTAGTCAATGTCACTGAACTGTGTATGTAGAAATTTTTGAAATGGTGTATCTTTGGCTATGTGTATTTTCACCAAAAAAAAAAAAGGTTGAGAAGTTAGAGGGTTAACATTTGTGGGGTTGTTAACCAATGTCATAAAACAACATGTGTACTACTGTTCCATGAGAAACTATTTGTTCTGTAAGCCTTCACCTGAAGTACAATAAAATATAAAAAAGTTAAAAAAAAAAAAAGTTGGCAGCTCGAATCTACCAGCCGCTCCTTGGAAACTCTATGAGGCAGTTCTACTCTGTCCTACAGGGTCATTACGGGTCGGAATCGACTCAACGGCAATGGATTTTGGCCTACCCATTTTAAAACAAAAACAAAACAAAACCCCAAACCATTGCCATGGAGTTGATTCTGACTCAGATGGCAACCCCATGTGCTACAGAGTAGAACCATTCCATAGGGTTTTCTTGGCTGTAATCTTTATGGAAGCAGATCACCAGGCCTTTCTTCTGTGGCATCACTGGGTGAGTTTGAACCACCAACCTCTAGGTTAGTAGTTGAGTACAAACCATTTGTACCATGCTGGGATCTAATACCCATTTTACAGACACAGAAACTAAAATTAAGTAACTTGCCCGCATTTACCTGGGGGTAACTTGCCCGCATTTACATAGAGCTACATATTATGTAACGTAGTAAGTGTTATACATACAAAAGATGCTAAGAGAGCACAGAGGCGCTAAGGTGAAAATGGCAAACAGAATTTCAGAAGATAAATGGTAGGGAGGGGAATCCCAGCAGAAGAAAGAACACATACAAAGAATAACATTCCAGAATAACCTAAGTTTCTTCATCTGTAAAATGGGAGTAATAGTAGTATCTACTTCATAGGTTTGTACTGAGAATTAAACGAGTTAATATTTGCAAAGTTCCTAAAAGAGTGGCCCAGAGTATGAGAACTGTAAATGTTTGCTAAATAAAATAAATAAATGACAAAAAAAAGATCAATGAGACTGAAGCACAGGGTCAAAGGGTAGAATGGAAAAGTAAGCAAGGGCCAGCTTGTAGAGGACCTGTGCATGGTGTTAAGGGGTCTAGTTCGACAGGGCCACCCACCCTGCTCCTGAAACCTGCACCAGTAAATGGCAGGAAGAAATCACCATCCTTCTATTAACAAGTCACAACATTCACTGTACAGACCTCAGAAAATAATACTAGCCCAAAGAGAATCATATGACCCTTAGTCCCCTGACCCTGCAGAAAATCACTGCTGACTTCACAACATTCATTCAGACAATGTTCTCAGGGGTGATTTATCACCTGCCAGCTCTCCAGCCCTAAGAGCAACAGGCTGTGGTCTGCTTCCAAGATGCCCATCTTCACTCATCACCTGCCCCTGCTACTAAAAGCAGCTGTCAGATATGGGCCAATCTCTACAGGAAAATTTGGGATGACTTGTATACTGGGTTGACTTAAACCCATTGCTATCGAGTTGATTGACTCATAGAGACCCTACAGGACAGAGTAGAACTGCCCCATAGAGTTTCCAAGGAGCGGCTGGTGGATTCGAACTGCCAACCTTTTGGTTGACAGCCAAGCTCTTAAGCACTGTGCCACCAGGGCTCCTTATGCCCCCTAAGTTCATTTCCCTGTAATATATAATCTACCAATGTATTATACTAACATTTGGGCTTACTTATGAAACTAGCAGATAAAGGTCCAAATTTAAGTAGCTCAATCATTATTTTATCTATCTGTCTAACAAATACTGGGAGTCCCTGGGTGGTGCAAACAGTTAAGTTCTGATACAACAATGACTGTAAGTGATGCAAACGATTACGCGCTTGGCTACTAACCAAAAGTTTGGCAGTTGGAATCTACTCAGAGGCACCTTGGAAGAAAGGCCTGGCAATCTAATTCCAAAAGGTCACAGCCATTGAAAACCCTATGGAGCAGTTCTACTCTGACACACATGGGGTCACCATAAGTTGGAAGCAACTTGATGGCAACGGTTTGTTTGTTTGTTTTTGGTTTTATCAAACACTAATCAAATGCCAAGTAGGCACTAAGCGCAATGCTGTGTGCTGTAGATTCAAAGTTATGGAAGGAGGGTCCAGGGTTTCTTCAAGAGAAGGTCACAATAATATTATGATATCCTAATCATAAAATAATGTTTCTTATGGTGTGCTACAGAGTTGAGGGGTCATTGGGTCAGAAGTCAGAGAAGTTTCTGGGAGGAAATGACATTCTGATTTGGTTTTTAAAGGATAAGTAGGGGTTTTCCTGTACAGAAAAAGTAACGAAGAAAGCTCTAGGAGATAAAAACAACAAAGCACTGAATATTTAGAGAATTGAAAGAAATTCACTGTGGCTGAAGCTTGGCGTGTGTCATGGATTGAATTATATTCCCCAAAAAATGTGTGTATCAATTTGGCTGGGCCGTGATTCCCAGTATTGTGTGGTTGTCCTCCATTTTGTGATTGTAATTTTATGTTAAAGAGGATTAG